TTCTCTGTATCCTCGTCGTAAGTGCTTATTGTGCACCTATGCTCGATGAACAACTCAACAATCAATGGACTTTATTCAAACGGATCTATGGAAAACAATACAATTCAATTGAAGAAGAAGCTACTCGGTATGTTCAATAATATTTCAACTTCTTTCTCAGCGACAAATTCTATTCTTTATTCTCTATTTTTACAGTCGAAACATTTGGGAAGCTAATCTTGCTAAAATCCAAAAACACAATCTTGAAGCTGATTTAGACATGCACACCTACACTTTAGGAATGAATCGATTTGGTGATATGGTAAGTTTTTCATCTTTTTTTTTCCACTTTCAAACAATACAACTTACTATATTTATCTATATAGACTCATGAAGAATTCATAAAACAAATGAATGGATTGAAAATGACAGTTGATCCTGAATCGAACAACTTCGATCATCATACATTCTTAGCTCCATCTAATGTTGCTATTCCAGATGCTGTTGGTATGAATTTCTTATTTTGATTTTTCTTTCGAATATATAAATAATAATGATGAAATGTTTGTATGTAGATTGGCGTAAAGAAGGTTATGTAACACCAGTGAAAGACCAAGGACAATGTGGATCATGTTGGGCTTTCTCATCTACTGGTTCACTCGAAGGTCAACACTTTGCTAAAACAAAACAACTTGTTTCAATTTCTGAACAAAACTTGGTTGATTGCTCAGGCAAATTTGGTAACATGGGTTGTGATGGTGGTTGGATGAATACGTCTTTTCAATATATCAAAGCTAATAAAGGTATTGATACAGAAAAAAGCTATCCATATGAAGCTCGTGATGGTGAATGCCGATTCAAAAAAGCTAATGTTGGTGCTACTGTTACAGTAAGTCTAATCATTGTGTAAAAGGGTAACTGAATTAGACTATAAATATTTCTTTTTCTAGGGTTTTGTTAACATAAAACCTGAAAATGAAACAGATCTTCAAGTTGCTATTGCTACAATTGGTCCAATTTCAGTTGCTATTGATGCATCACAAGGTTCATTTCAATTCTACTCATCAGGAGTTTATAATGAACCAGATTGTTCAACAACAGAACTTGATCATGCCGTTTTAGCTGTTGGTTATGATACAACTGCTAAAAAACAACAGTATTATATTATCAAAAACTCATGGGGAACATCATGGGGTCAAAAAGGTTATATCTGGATGAGTCGTGACAAGAAAAATCAATGTGGTATTGCTACCGCGGCTTGCTATCCTCTTGTTTAAATCAACAATTATCAACAGTCAGAAAAAGAACTAACTGTACATTTTCTAAAATATAATTTTTAACATTTTTTTCGATGTTGTCATTAGTGAAAATATATCATGAAAATAAATAGAAATATAAATAAAACAGGTTCTTTTCATTGAGAATAGAAGTGGCATATGAAGTGAAATGTTGGAAACCATACAGAAGAATAAGCCATGAATGATTGTTTAGATGAGTTTGGTAGAAAAAAATTATTTAAATAACTAGAAAAGAATGAAACAAATGAAATTAAGTTTTGTATGGTAGCTATTCTGCGGTATTGAATGCATATAACAGTGATATCATGATGAATAACGATTTTGGATACGGTGTTGTGTACTTTGTACGACAGAATAGCTTTCAGAAACGCAGTGCGATAAAGCGGAATAATGAACAAGGTCCTTTCCTATGTTTTGGAGAAGATAAATTGTA